TAAAAATGAGTTTTTTGTTTTTCGTGCTTTTTTGTCTTTCGTAAATTTTTTAATTTTAAGTATTTTTTTCTTTTTTAAATACAATCTTAACTTAGATGTATCTAAAAAATAAATATTTGTGAAATAATTTTTAAAAATTAATAATACACAAATACAAAAGATAACATTGAATTCTTCCTTTTTTTTTATATTTTTGGTATTTTAATGAATTTTTTAGAGAATTTTTTTAACGAAAATTATATCTTTTTTAAGTATATTTATATTAAGTGTGTCTAAAATTTTTAAAAATTTACTTAAATATTAAATTTTTTTTTAATAAAAAATCAAAAATAATTTTTTTTTAAAAAATATTTTTTTAGAAAACCTAAACGCAAGCAAAGTAATTCTTGCTTGATCCTTGCTTGATCATTTGCAAAATTCGTCCTTTTTTAGAAGGCCAGAACAACAAATCGAGTCCTTTTTATTGAAGAATTCTTACACCTTTCTTTGACTTTCCTCATATGGCTAACTCAATAGTTACGTGTAACCTTTTCCACCCTTAACCCACAACGTCTATAACTACGTGCGCCCTGGTTTCTTTCCTCTCTATCTATCTATTTGCATTCCCAACGATAATTTAAAACTTTTTTACTATTTTTTTTTCGCAATGCTACAATGAAAAATAAAAAATAAAAAAAATACTTGAGGCCCTTTATGATTAAGTGGGTGTTTAGGGTTTGGTTTTTTTTATTTTTAGTAAATTTTTTTTTAATTTTTTAAAGCTTTATGGATTCTATTCGATGAGACGGATTGAAAGTTTTTAAAATTTGAAAAAAAGTTTTAGAGAGAAAAAAAAAATAGTAAAAAAATGGTAGATTTATTTTTTATTTTTTTTAGATTGGTTTACTAGACGGACAAAAAAAAGTTTTTTTAAAAAAATGACTTAATTATAAAAAAGCCACTAAAAAAAGGAACCAATTGACTATTTGGAAGCTCAAAAAAAAAAAAAAAATCCTTCAAAATAAAATAAGTAACTTTTTCTCCAAAATTTAAAAGTTGACTATTTTTGCTAGACTTTTATGAAAAATTTTATTTTTTTATTTTTTATTTTTTATTTTTTAGAATGACTCAAACTTAATAAAATATATCAAAAATTAAGTCAATTTATAAACTGCAATAAAAACAAATAAATAAAGAAAGTTACCCAAGCTCTTCCATGTTTAATTTTATGGCAAATTACAAACCCCCTCGAGAATTTGTGAAAATACAGATTCTCCGCTTGAGGTTTGTAGAATTTATATCTCTTGCCTCTTGAGATTTAATTTCCATAACTAAATTGCCTCCTGAGATTTTTATTTTCATACAGATTTCCCCCTATTTCTCCTAATTTGTTATGAAATTTGACTCTCAGGAAACAATTTGTAATTCTCAAACCTCAAACCAAAGAAAATTTATATTTTATCAAACCTCATGGGGGTGTTTTGTAATTGCGCTTAATTTATCCAATGAGGTGTGTGTCCCACTAGATTGTGGATAAAATTTAATGAAGTTCTCATATAATATATTTGTGGCTTTTTTAAAAGTTTTTTTGGAGGCCAAGACCCTCACTAGTCTCCTCTTTCAATTTTTTAAATTCTAATTTTTTGGAAATTGAATTTTTTGTTATTTTATTTATTTTTAGTGAATATTTTTAAAATTTTAATATTTTTTTACTTTTTAGATGTGCCTTTACTTAAATATATAAAAAATAAAATATTTATAAAAAAATATTTAATAATTAATATATACAAAAATACGAATTGTTACTAAATTTTTTATATATTTTTTATATTTTGGATATTTAGTGAATTTTTTTTTAAAAAAATTCCACAAATATTATACATTTACAGTTTATTATGTTAGGTAGTGTCTAAAATTAAAAAAAAATTACTAATAAAAGTAAATTTTTTAAAAACTGAATTTTAGAAATCAAAACTAAACGATTGTTGAGATTTCATTGACATAATGATTTGGTGCAATTATATTTTGTTGGTATATTTTAGCATAAGGGAATTAGTCTAAGGTTTTTCTAATTTTTTAAAATAGAAGAGATCCACAATATTTTTTTTGATGTCTAAGGTTCCCTAAACCCACACCCGTATATATATCAGAGATTTGACTCTCTCTCCCTTCTAATGAAATTCTCACACTTACAATGCCCTTTAACTGTCATGAATCTCCTCTCTCTCTAGAAAATTGTCGAAACAATGCACTTCGCAGCGATCCTCGCAGCCGCCTGATCTGCCCTCCTTTGTCTTCTGGCTTGCATCGGCGAGATAAACAACCTAAAAAATCATCCGAACGACCACCCCATGATCCGCTTCAAGAAAATTCGGGTTCACCTACACTGGCCACGTGAACATCAGATCTCGCGGCATGTCATTTATCAATTCAATCATTTTTCCGGCCTATTCCAATGTTCAAAGACCCTCTTCTTACACCTTGTCACCTCTGTCCCTCGCTGCGAGTCAAGACCCGAATCCCCATTGTTCCCTCAATCTCAGCTCGAATCTACCTGCGATGATTGTTTTTTATGATACGAGAGCTTTGATTTCTTCAATCAAAGCGTCAATTTCAGCTAGAGACACTGTGAATTTGTGCTAACTGATTGTTGTAAGGGAGTTGGGGTTATTGAGAGTAAGGGTTGGGGAGGTAAAATTAGTGATGTGATTCAAGAAGCGGTGGTGAAGCGGAGGGTTTTTTGCGGTGGGGAAGGAACAGGGTTTATGGATTGGCGCAGTGTTTGAGGAGTAATGAGTAGTGGTGGGTATAGAGAGTTGTTTGGAAAATGCGGCGGTGAGGTGAGAAGGTGTGTGCCTAGTAGGGAAGGTAGAGGTTGAATGCTAGATGTTATTTGAGGTAATTCCACTGTGAAGTTCTTCAATGGATGTGAGGAAATTGTAGAGAAGTTCTGTTAGTCTGCTCTTTGTCTCTATTTTTTGATATTTGATCAATATGAGATTTGTGAGTAAAGGAGTTTTGATTTTAGTGTTTTTTGTTGTTGAATTCTTGTGTTTTGACCGTAAAACTGCTTTTGAAAATTTAAGAGAAATTCCTCTCTAGAGAAAATTCTTGGACTTTCCAAGAATTTCCTCTAAGTTCAAACACCAGAGAAAATTCAAATTTCTCTAGGTTCATTTATAAGGT